CACATCTATTGTAGTTATAGGCAAGACAATTGGGAGAAGTGGCTTGTGTATGCAGAATTTGCATACAACAGGTTAGAATACTCTGTAATGCACATGTTCTCATTCAAAGCAATGTATGACTTCAAATCTAGAGAACCAGATGAGATTCAGAAGTCAATCAATAATGACAACAACATACAGATGATGTCTGACAGGAGACTGAGGATAATCTCTGCATTAAGAGATAGTCTGGTAGAACATTTGATGAAAGCAAAAGAGAACCAAGTACAGTTCTATAATTAAAGATATCAAGATAAATTGTATGCATCTGGTGACAAAGTGATGTTGTCATCAAGAAATCTACAAACAATACATTCTTGCAAGAAGTTAGACAACAAGTACTATGGACCTTTCTCAGTGATAGAGATTATAGGAAATAACACATATCAACTGAAGCTCTCTCCAAGCTATCAGATCCACAATGTTTTCCATGTCTTATTGTTGGAACCATATTGCACAAGAAAGAGTGAGGCACTAATGTGTCCTCCCACAGTACTAGTAGATAACTATCATGAGTGGGAAGTAGACAAGATCTTGGACAACAAAACATACTACTGCAAGAGATGTTACCTAGTGAAGTGAAAAGGATTCCCTATTGAAGAATCAATGTGGAAATCTGAGGAAAATCTTGAAAATGCACAAGAGGCCTTTAAAAATTATCTAAGGAAAAGATATAATTACAAGAAGATGAATGAATCTATATACAGGAAGAAAGATAGATGTGATACAAAACAAACATAAAGACCACAACATCTACAAAACCAAGAAGTTAATGGCAAGAACACATACTGTGAGAGTGCCCAAGACATGACTGTAATGGTGGTGAACTGGCTATAGATAAGTGAGGCTCAGAAGTCACAGGTATGTTTGATATGACAATGGACAGAGCTACAACAGAAGATGCAGTCATAAAAGAAGGCATAACAGACAAAGAACCATGACAAGAACAAAGTACTTCCACAATGCTATGAAAACCAGAAGAAACAGCATTGGTTAGACAGTTGATAGAAGATATAAGATTGGCTTAAGCAGAAGTTAGTCTGAGAACAGGTAAAGATAGTGAAGAAGATCTACAAGACTGGCTTCTGTACTGTCTCAAAGAGTCTTGATCTCACTTGTCAAACAAGTGGTAAGATGGTCAAGCAAGACATGGATGTTTCCAATCTCATTCTTAACTCAAGACAAGACAGCACAAACTGGACTTGGTGAATAAAGAAGTTCAAACAGATTATTCTTGACAGACCTGGCTTCAGACACAAGATCTATAGTTTTAGTTTGTTGACATGATGCAGGACAACAATGTTTTATAGAAGATTCTTCAAGAACAGAAGTGGTCTGGTGACAACAACATTTGGTGGTCCTGGAGTTAAGCTTATAAAATTCTCACACAAGTACACTCATACACTTCACATTGTATGGATGGTGAGGGTCTGCAGCATTAAAGCAGTGATACTTCTCTCAAAGACATAAAAGTCAACATACAATATTAAAAGCAGATTTGAGTACCTATAACCATGTCAGATTAACAAGAAAGAACAGATAAAGACACACTTACATTATGATAAGTACAGATTTGGCACTTTAAATAATAAGCACAAGATTCTTTTTCAGAATTCCATATACAGAACTCTGCTTTGTCCAAATAATCAGTAAACATTGAATATATGTATATCAAGCAAGAAAACACCTTCTCTTTAACATTGGGGACAGAATTCTTCAAAGAAGACATGGTAATGAAGGGTAGCATAGAAGAAACAACAACACTCTTATCAAGACATGTAGAGTGGTATCCAGTTCTGGAATTTTCTGTTCTGGTCCCAGATTCCTGTCCCAATTCCTGTCCTGAGGATGGGATCAGGTTGAAGCTCAGCTTAATGGGATGGGACTGGATTATTTAACAGCATATTGGGACAGTTCTGTGGGAACTGGGATTGGGATGGGATTGGGACCAGGATCAAAATCTAGCTAGTAGAACAGGCCTGGAACCTGACATGACAAAATAGAATAGGACCAGGATTTCAATATTGTATATGAGACAGGATCAGTAAAGTGTAGAATGGAATCAGGAACTCCAGTCCCATTTGTGTTGTCAAAAAGTAATGAAATTTGGTAACAGTCCTAACATAATTTTATCAATTTATTCAACTTCAGAAAAGTACCAAAATTTGGTAATGCTCTTTGCATAATTGGATCATATTACAAGCTATTAGCTACTTGAGTCTATCTATTGATAATATTGACATATTTTCTGTTTCTCATCTGGATTAAGTAGTGAATTTAGCAGGCTTGCAATCTCTTCCTGTACAATCTCTGGAGTATCTTGATTATCTTGATTATCTTGAATGACTTTCTTGGCCAACTTCTCATGCAATATGAGTGCTTCATCCAGCATATGCATCTTATCTCCATGTTTAAGCAGCATGATCTTCTTGATTGTAGATGCATGGAGCTGTAATTATTAATAATAACATGTATTCCAAGCAACATTAAAAACCCATTCTACCTCAATCTCTGTTAAAGATATAGCCAGAATGTTCCTTGCCATCCAAGCAACAGTTGGAAAATCAGGCTCTAGCATCCTCCACTGTTTCAGAATTGGAGCTCAAGGTGATGTCAAATTCTTGTTATTTAAATATCACTCCATTTCATTTTGGAAATTTGCTCATCTTTAATAAGGTCTCTCAAAAATCATTTGCTCAATATTCTAGAGAAGTTAGTAGAGAAGAAATCAGAATAATAGTTATAATAAATATACATCATTCACATCAAGTATTACTTCTCTTGACTGTTCATATTTCTTATAATACTTTTTATAAAATCTCAAAATATATTGTCAGTATGTTTTACACTCATTACTGGTCCAATTCTCTGAATTATATGCTCTCAGGCAGTGTGATAAATGGAGGGCAGCAGCTACAGCTAGCAGCTCATTCTTTGGATGCTCAGTATTACTATAGTATTTCTGGAATTTCAAGTTGGCAGCTTTGATAGCTTCTTGAATGTTCTCTCTTGTTGTTAACTGTTGAATCTTGTTCTTCTCTCTTTCTAAATGCTGGAAAAGATGATTGTACATTACTTATACCAGATGAATTGTTGGGTCTGTTGTTTTGGACAGTATCTTGATAAATTAACTGAATGGCTGTAACAATTCAACTATATACTCTAGCTGCTTCCAGTCATGATCCAATAAGCAAAGTCTTTGGTATTTTGATGATGAGTTCTGAATTCATAAGTTCACAGCTTGTTGAAGCAACAAGGCATGAATACACATCTTATAGATGGAATTCCATCTTGTGCAAACATCTTGAATTATCTTGTACTGATTCTCTTGTTGATATTCTCAGAAATATGCAGCAAGTTAGGGAAAGGCATTGGTTGCATTGGCAACAAGATGAATCTATTATCAAGCAAAGATTAGTAAATCAACTCAAGTATATCAAGATTGTTACCAAATTTTATTATATTTCTAAGAGTATTTGCAAATGTATATGTTGATGCTAGATCATCAGTAATTAAGCTCTCATTAAAGATAGTGAGTAGAGTATCATTGTCTGGCTGAATCTTGAGATTGCAAACCAGCTCTCAAATCACAAGTTAAATCACATAAGCAAGACAGAATATTGTTCCACTCTCTGCATCTCAATCAGTTGTCTTGTTCAACTGCTGCAATGCTGGTCTCAACTGATATGTAAGATGTGCTTACATAATACCATTGTTTAACACATTATCACTTGTAATTGCAAGAAGATTACTCTCAAGCCTTCATGCTGCTAGTAATTGTTGGAGAATCTCTGTTATATTCTTGCCAGTATAAGCACTCTCTAAACTTTTAAAATTCAGTAAATGCTCATGGTACTCCCAATCCTTTATAATGTAATAATTATTAATTGCCATAAAGACAAGATTATTGGGACTTGTCCAATTATCTACTGCCAGAGATATCTTGATTGTTAAGTCATGATTAAAGAGAAGATTTCAGAATAGCTGATTATACATATCATTCATGATCTGATATAATGTTTCTTGTGTGGGTATCTGTAAAGCCATTGCAGGGTTGAGCATGATTATTAATATGTGGAATGCTGGATTCTCAATAGCACAAAATGAGAGATTTAAGAATATTAATATTTGCACAAGCTGCTGGAGAAAATTGTCTCAATTGCATTCAGAAACAGGCAGATCTGAATTTGTTTGAGGATGCTTTGGAAACTGTTGCTAAGACACCAGAACTGTTACTAAAATTTGTTACATTTGAGAAATTAGAATTCATAATCTATTATTATGTTAATCAGAGTATTATTCTGTCTGTTACCAGTTTTTATATAATCTTTACTTGTTAAATGCTTCTTCAGATTACTTGTACTATTTTGAGAAAAGCTTGAATGACTAAGAAAGATTTAGCAATGCTTGCAAATTACTTCTGAAGTACTCTTAGAATGCTCTGTCATCTAATTAAATTTTGACCAAAAATCAGAATGATGTTGCTTTGTCTTTCAGTTGGGGTTATCACACTTCTTATTATTAATCAACTGAGCAGCTTCAGTAGTCAACCATCAAGTAACAAACAACTTATAATGCAGCTTCTTCCACAATACAAATTGTTTTTTTCTATGTTAAACTATAATTAATTCTGAAGAAATCTCTGTAGATTTTGCTTGTTTGCTGGCTTCAGCTATTAGATTTTTCTTTTTTTTTTTTTTTTTTTCACAATCAAATTGATTTTTCTCTAAGTTCTGCCTTAGTCAACAAAGTAACAAAATGTGATCAGAGTCCATGCAAAATTTAACAATCTCTAGATAGTTAGCCTTATTTTACTCTGTAAGTACAGCAACCAACTACAAAATCTTCTTCTTCTACAAAATGGAACATTCTTCTTCAGGAAAATAAAACATTTTGCCAATTTAATAGCATCCCATTCTCAAATTAATATGAAAAAAGAACTAAAAACCTAACTTTCTTCTCTAGATATTAATAATCCAATCATTCTCCATCTCATTGTTCTTCTTATTATTCTCATCAGAGAACATCACAATCTCAAAATCATTTTTTCTCATCTTCTCTGGAGCAGGTGGACTGTTGTTATCTTCACTTGAACTCTGTAATTAGTTCAGGAATTCTCTCATCTTCTTCTTAACCCTCTCTCTTGATACACCAACCACAGCAAGATAATCATAATCATGAGCCATGATCTTGATCTCAAGCCTGGCTATTATTTGGCAGAATTGGGTCTCTCTACATGCAGCAATAGAATGCTGTGTCTGGCTTGTTTTGGTCTAAATATGTCAGAATCATTACCAAATTTTGTTACTTTTGAATTTTATCTTCTTTTTCTACTAAGCTTCATTCTCAGTCTCTGTAGTCTCTTCTTGATGATGCTTCTTCTCTTTCTCTCTCTTCTTTTGCTGAGAGACCATAAGCTGGTGCTTATGATACTTCTTTGACTTGCTCTTGACAAATTACTTAGCTATCAATTCTTCAATGGCTTTATCTTCAATTATCTTGCAATCCTTCTCACTGCTATTCTGCCTGCAATGAATATTAATATAATTCAACACAAATTACTGAGGGTGCATATTATTTATGTTTTACTCAGATTCTCTTCAGCATGTTATAATATGTCTTGCAATCTGTCTCTTCTGTCTTGAATATGTCTTTTTGATGATCTTTCAAGGTCTGGTAATGCTCCCATGCTGTATGGATCTTCTCTCTTATTGAATATTGTTTTGGTCTCATCTTCATGATTATATGCAATAAGTTGAATTGCTGGCTACAGGATAATAAGATTATAGAGTATATTAATCAAGTACTTGTATAGAATGGTTACTATACATATTGTTTACATTCTACAGGCATGTTGCTATGGGCAAGCTCAACACATTGTTGCTATGCTGGCTACAGAATAATGAGATTATAGAGTGTATTGATCAAGTACTGTAGAATAGTTACTATATACATTGTTTACATTCTACAGGCATGTTGCTATAGGCAAGATTAACACATTGTTGCTATGCTGGCTACAGAATAATAACATCAGATCAGTCTCTCTTCTCTTCTCTTTCTCTTTCTCTTCTTCTTCTTTCTCTTCAGGACTAACATTAACAATTCTCTTTTCTTCTTTCTCTTCTCTCTTACCATCTTTTTATTTACTGCACTTCAACATCTGTGTGTACAACAAACATATACTGTGACAAAATGGGTTGTATTAAGAGATGAGTGCTTGCAGAATACTGCTCTGATGCACATTATTTACTGACAAGATATTAGTTTTCCCTGTGCACATCCATTTCACACAGTTGGAGAGGAGCAGCACAAGACCACATTGAAAGAATGAGCTCTGAAGAAGAGTAATTGGTATAAAGCTAATAAAGATGTTGATCTGGCCAACTTTAATCAGGAGAATCTCCACCTCCACCTCTCTGTTCAAAATTGGAAGGCCAGCACTTGTATGTCAAAAAGTAACAATTTTTGATAACAGTCTTGATACTAATTAGTGAAAATAGGTGCCATCAAGGAAATTCACCACTTCCAGAGCTCTACTGAGCTAATCTTGCCAGTGGCCCTGTTCCAGCAATTGATTCAGGAAATTACTTTGTTCTGTCACCAAGAACATGAATATTGCTGGCAACATACTGCTATTGAGTCACTTCAGAAGACAGGTGAAGCAACCTTATACACTCTATTTGAGTGTAAGTCACTCTTAGCAATAGCACTAATAATTATACTAAGTAATATAGGCTCTGTTATGGCAATGGCACACTGTAAGTATGTTATGGTCAACACTAATAATATGAAGCTTGTTCTTGGCATTGGTGCCAAAATCAGATCAAACTATTTCAGTCTAATTGATGCACCTGATTGCCCTGCCCCTGCTATCACCACCTGCCACCTGTGTGCTGCCCCCACTCCACCAACTACTACTGCTGCTGCTCCACCACCACTGCCACTGCCCACCACTGCCTCTCTGTCTTTCTCCAGCACCATCAGAGTCTCTACCCATCAAATGACAGGTATTAGAGTCTCTGTCTGGTTCACAAAGCCAGTTCTGGAGAAGCAGGAGGAGAAGAAGAAGGAGAAGAAGAAGAAGAAGTAGGAGAAGAAGAAGAAGAGGGAGGAGAAGAATGATGATGATGATGAAGATGATGACAATAATAATGATGAAGATAATGACAATAATGATTAACTTGCTATTTAGACAGTTTCTGTTTGTTTGCTGGCTTCAGCTATTAGTTAGTTTTAATACTTTGTTTCTTTTGACAATCAAATTAATTTTTCTATGGGTTCTGCCTTCATCAAAAAAGTAACAAAATTTGGTAATGGTCCACACAAAATTTAATCAGTTTGACTCTTCTCTATGAATTTAATATAATGGGACCAGGAATTCTGGTCCCATTCCAGTCCCACTATGGACCTGGCCAGGATAGGAAATGAGAGTCTACCATCTCTGCTGGAATGGGATGTGGGACATAATTTTCTATTTGAGGATGGGACTGGGAAATAATTTCTGGGATAGGGATAGGAATGGGACCTCAAGCTCTTGAGTGGGATGGAACATGGGACTGAGATTTCATATTTGGGATCCCAGCTGTTTCTAAATTCAGGACTGGGACCAGGTTCAATGGGAAATGGAATCCCATCCCGGTCCTGAATACCAGCCTAAAGACATGGTAGAAGAAGAAGAAGAGAAGAACAAGAATGAGAAGATCTCTATTTATATCTGTATTGTAACACACTAAGATTGCTAGTCTCATGACTTGTTAATAAACAATATGACAACAGACAACAGACAACATAGCAATCAGACAAGGAAACAAACAAAGAAACAAGTACATGATGAAATACTGAACTTTCATAATAAAATGATTGCTGTTCTACAACAAAAAATGTCTACTGCAACTGGTGGTAATATGTATGCAGGATGTCTATATAGACAAGCAGTAGTAATGCAGAAGCTTGCACATTCAAGAACCTACAATGCTCCACCAATAATAGAGGAGCTACAATGATGTACAAAAAACTACTTCAGTAGCCCTATGCCTCAGAGTTCAAGGTCTCTGGGGGGGGGAAATAGTGTTACAAACATAGATCTAGACCAACCAAGCATCAGACAATATTAGGTGTTCAGGGGTATTCATGTGACCTCAACTCTGAACATATAAGGATCACATGATTTGCATGGATTGTGGGAACTCCAGCATTCAGTCTTCTAGTTAGAGGATCTTTATGTTCTACACACAACTCCCTTTCATCAGTTGCAGGCATCATATATACTTAGCTCTTTTGTACCCCTAATTCTGGGAAAATCTATGTGACCTACAACTGGTTCTCCTAATACTTGAATATTATGGTCATTCAGTTAAGCTTGTCAAGAAACCAGGCATAACTATACAGCTTCAGTGTGAATGCTATCTCAAGAGTCTTCTGAATCTGCTTTGTGTCAGAACTCTCTAGAAGTGGTTGCACCTAATAATCAAGCTACAGATCACTACTGTAGCAGAGGTAGTTGCTCTAGCCTCTATACATGCACAGAAGATATTAAAGAAACATTATTATTATTCAAGTATGTTTTCAGTGCACTACAGTGTGTGGCTGCAGGCTGTAAATTATCTCAAACTCAGTGCACAGCTTGTTGATATTCTACTACAGCCATTCCAGAAGCTAATTAGTGCAATAGCTGAGAAAGAATGATAGACATTGAGACATAACTGTAGAATGATTAGCTAGATTATTTTTCTAGAGAATTCAGTTCATGGTCTGCAGAACAGTAGCAGTAACCCAGTACTTCTTCTGAGTCTTATAGAACTGCTGGTGGTAGTCAGAAATAATGACATGGTACTGTTACTTAGTGTGAATATATGCACACAGCAAGACAAGAGAAGAATGACTGATGGCCTTTCCAATATACTGCCAGGTCTGTACCAGTCTGGAATCCAGAGTTAATATGTCCAGGTTCTTATTTGCAAATGAGAAATGCTGACTGGCTGTGAAGATTTTTTTGACAGTGTTGTAGAACTGGCAGTAGAGCAGGCCCCAGCAGTAAAGCAGAGAGCACCAGTACAGCTCTAGTGTTATAGATCTCAGATTACACAGGAATAACAGTAGATAGAACTGCTTGTGTCAGAATTCTTTTTGTAAATGTTTATGTTCTGAATCAGAAGCCTGAGCATCAGCAACTAGTGTGCTATCTGCTGAATATTTATTGAGATTGCTGGTATTCTTATTAGCTTTATCTTTATCATTCTTACTAAGCTCTAACTGGTATGCATCTTTATCTTCACTTCTGAGTGCCAGCTCCACCAATCTGTGTTAGATATAGCTGGAGTCTGAGATCTCAGACATCACTCTATACTGAACATGACTGCAAAGTCAGCAGAACTGCTGGAGCTGAACAGCTGCTACTGGATAATTATTATTGATCTGCATCTTTATTAAATTATTCAGTAAGCTATCAGACTCAGATGAAGTGAGAAAAGAGATTCTTTATGCAGCTGGTGAATCTCTCAGTCATTTACAGAAACAATCCAGATAACAATATTATTAGATAAATGTGCAAAGTGTATGTGTTGGCTTCTGATATAACAGAAAGCTCTAGAGCAAGACTATCTTCTTGTCAATATTATAGAAGCTGGTGGTCAGATAGCATCTATCTACAGCCTGATTCTACATGCAAAAGAAGATATTATATATGCTGAATCAGATGACATGCTGAGTTAAGAGCTTTAGATTCTTAGCAGTCAGAAGAAATATAAGTCTCTGAAAGTACTGAAGCTCTGAATCTTGAATAATTATTTGCACATACTTTCAGAGATGGTGAAGTTCTGCTGACTGTAGTGAAAAGTGAAACTCCTGCACTTATAGCTACTTATGCAAAGTCTGATTATGGCCTTCTGCCTGAGCTGTAGTAGAACTGAGCTAAATATATATGGCACTGGATGACAGATGGAGAAGTATAGATGTAGAATAAATATAATAGAGAGTTAGAAGAAAGATCTTGTCTGTTCAGAGAGTATACTTCTGTTCTATAATAATGTGATGCTGGCACTGAGAGCTGAAAAGCTAAGAGAAGAGAATATAGATCTCAATCTCAGAAAATTCAATCAGTTATTCAAACAGAAGATGAGAAATCTGGTGAACTGATCTCTGAAACTGATAAACTCTTTCAGTCTGCTCATCTCTCTACAGGACTGAAATAGAATTCAGATAAAGAGAACTCTTCAAATTATTTATCAGAGATTAGTTAGCTTTCCATTGAAATCTCTTATGGACTACTGTAAGACTTGAGGCCAGACCACCAGCACTATCAATATCAATCATAGTGTGCAGAAATACTGGTATCAGTATGATATCATCTTTCAGATTAATAGTTACAGAGTGTGGAGGCACTTTCTTATAAGCTAAAGACTTTACTGATGCAGATATTCCACTGTATAGTCTTTAGTACTGATGAACTGGCAGAATGGTGTCCCACTTTATAAAATAGAAAGACATGCTGGTGTGCTCTAAGACATCTAAATATTTCCAGCTTGCCATTTATGAGAGAGATACTGTTAATATAAAGAGTAACTCTGATACAGTATAAGCCTCAGTAAAGTATTTATAATAAATCTGCAGCTGTACTATCAGCTTGTGTGCAAGTATATTGTCTTCTTCTGTTGATTCCACTGTATTTGTGGGCAGGAAGAGTTCATGATCCAATCTTGATTTTAATATATCAGGGCTGGACAGATCTGAAGATGTTAGCAGTAATACTGGATCTAGAATATAGTTAGAGATTTAAAATGCTTGATTATCTTATTTTATTGCAGACAACTGACTATTCTCACTGCTGCTAGATTCTGCTGATAATAGAGAGCTCTTATACTTTATTTTATCAGACTTAGACTCAAGCAAACTCTCTTTAATTATGTCTGATGGCTCAGAGCTTTCATACTTAACAGATACCATATCAAGAGTATTCTGTAGATTCACAAACATATAGAGTGAATTCTCAACAGACTAGAAAAGACCAGCCTCACTTTAAGAATTACAGATCAAGAAGATATTCTGAAACAATATTAATGTGCTTGCTGATGTGACTTCTTGCTGCTGCTGTTATTATCTTTAATATACTTGCACTTATATCTGAACTGTATCTCTCTCAGTTGCATACTTGTATGGCCATTTACAGCTCATGCTAACTAGAGTGTTTCACCAATATGCTTGCTGTATGGAGAAATTGCAGAGAATATACTGAGATAATATTGAATCTGAAGTGTCTGAGCCAGAATCTTGAGATAGATGAGATTTTGACTGGACTTACTAAATGAAATAAACATTTATGATAGATCAGAAATGCCACTCTTCTGATTATCTTAAGTTTATAAATCTATTAAAAATGTTAGTCTCTTTCTTCTATCAACTTTGAGCCTACAATTAAAGCTCTGTTTTCTCTACTGCTTTATCACAACCATCTCAGATTATCTCTTTGGTAGTCTGAGACTTTATTTTGATTGCTTCTCTTCTCTTCTCTGTTCTTCCAGTTGTTAAATGAATTGCTATTGATCATGATAGCTTAGAGATATTCTAGTATCTGACTGCAATCTTCCAGTACAGAGATAGAGCTACATCTTTTCAGTGCTTTCACTGTACTTTAAAGAAAAAAGCAAGAAGAATATTAAATCAGTCTCAGTCTATGCTATTAGTAATAATAAAAAGCAGTCAACACACACTGTTGAACAGTTTTCTGCCAAGAAACATGTCTCTAGATAGTGAGTGGCAGCTCTGAATCTTATGATTCTATATATAGCATTCATTAACAGATAATTCTGGATAAAGATCTTGCCCAAACTACTTCTTTTAATAAAAGTACACTATTTTCAAGTCTTATAAGTGTTCCTGCACATATGCCATACCACAGCAAGCCTAATCTGGAAAGCCAGAACTGATGACTATCTAGCTCTTAATTAGTAACATCAGAAGAGGTTTTGGCTTTAAAGAATTTTATTTTATATCAGAAGAACAGATACTCAGAGATGATCTGTCAAGAGAATAAAAAAAAAGATATCTAGATTGAGCTAGAGCTCAGTCTTAAAGAACAGCTGCTTTAAGAAATAATCAAGTCTCTTGCTCAGCAGCTCTCAAGTGTCAATATTAATTCAGACATTATACAGAGAGAGAGAGAGACAAGAATAATTCTTCTGCTTGACTGACAACTCTTCTGATGCTGACATCAGTTATTCCAGAAACTATTATTAACAATCAAGTACAATTAATTTATTAGCATACTTGACATTGACTTCAGACCTGAATGCAGATCTGAATAAATGAGATCACATCAACAACTCAGTACAGAGAGGTTCAAGAGAACACTTGCTTTATAGACAGTAGAGAGAGATCAGATACATGGAGAAGATGGTAGAAAGAAGAGCAAATCATAAAAGCAGGTATTGTAGATAACCATACATCTGAACAAGATAATCTGCTGAAGAGACTACAAGACTGGTGTAGCTGTAGAAGAGACATGACAATAACTGAGCTTTAATTAAAGAGCTGGACAAGAAGATGCCTGAGTTCAGACTGTAAAACTATACACAAATGGATCTTAAGAATCAGATGTGAAATATGAAGATTGATCTTATAGGATATGCAGTAATCTTCTGTATGGGACAGTCTGGTCTTGTAAACTAACATTTGATTACAGAAGAGATGATCCAGTACCAGATAACTACTGTCAGATTTGTCTAAGTGACTGGCATCTGAAATTAATTGCATGAGAGTAGCTAAGACAACAAGAATGAGAATAGCTTCCAGACACTCTAGCATGCTTGAACAAGTACTATAGACTTAATAAGATAGTTTGAGAAAGGTTTTATGTACAGTACAGCAGAAGAGAAGCAGTTTATTAAGCTGATTTAGAGAAATAGTTGTTTCAAGCTAATCAGATACTTTGCCTGTGAAGCAACTGCCAGACATACTGCATAAAATTTGGCAATTCTAGCTTGAATTATATGCATCCACTAGCAAATCACAGTAGCAGAAAATACCTTGCTAAAGACATCAGAATAAGAGTAGAAGAAGACAGTGTAGTGAATTCAAGATAATTCTATCTTTTGGAAAAGCTGAAGAGAACAGATCTATAGAAGAGAAGAAGTGTAAATGATAAAACACAGACTGCTATTATCTAATTCAGAGAATACATCTTGCAGTCAATGCTTGCAGATGAAAACCAGCAGTCAAAATTGATGGTAAAAAATTGATGATGGTTAAAATTGACAGTAAAACTTGACAACCAAAATTGACAACCAAAATTGACAACTAAAATTGATGACAGCAAAAATTGATGATGATCAAAATTGACAATGGTCAAAATTGACAATGGTCAAACCTGATAACAGTCAAAATTGATGATGGTAAAAATTGACAGCAAAAATTGATGGTAAAAATTGACAGTCAAAATTGACAATCAAAATTGACAATGGTAAAAATTGATGATGGCGAAAATTGACAGTCAAAATTGATGACCAAAATTGACACTGCAAATTGATGATGATCAAAATTGAGGATGGTGAAAATTGACAACCAAAATTGACAGTGAAAATTGACAATGGTAAAAATTGACAGTCAAAATTGATGACCAAAATTGACAATAGTTAAAATTGATGATGGTGAAAATTGACAACCAAAATTGATAAACCAAATTGACAGTGAAAATTGACAGTCAAAATTGACAACCAAAATTGACAGTGCAAATTGACAATGGTCAAAATTGATGATGGTGAAAATTGACAGTCAAAATTGATGACCAAAATTGACACTGCAAATTGATGATGATCAAAATTGAGGATGGTGAAAATTGACAACCAAAATTGACAGTGAAAATTGACAATGGTAAAAATTGACAGTCAAAATTGATGATGGTGAAAATTGACAACCAAAATTGATAAACCAAATTGACAGTGAAAATTGACAGTCAAAATTGACAACCAAAATTGACAGTGCAAATTGACAATGGTCAAAATTGATGATGGTGAAAATTGACAGTCAAAATTGATGACCAAAATTGACACTGCAAATTGATGATGATCAAAATTGAGGATGGTGAAAATTGACAACCAAAATTGACAGTGAAAATTGACAATGGTAAAAATTGACAGTCAAAATTGATGACCAAAATTGACACTGCAAATTGATGATGATCAAAATTGATGATGGTGAAAATTGACAGTCAAAATTGATGACCAAAATTGACACTGCAAATTGATGATGATCAAAATTGATGATGGTGAAAATTGACAACCAAAATTGATAAACCAAATTGACAGTCAAAATTGACAGTTAAAATTGACAACCAAAATTGACAGTGCAAATTGACAATGGTCAAAATAGATGATGGTGAAAATTGACAACCAAAATTGACAGCAAAAATTGATAATGGTAAAAATTGACAGTCAAAATTGATGATGGTAAAAATTGATGGTCAAAATTGACAGTCAAAATCAACAACCAAAATTGATAGCAAAAATTGACAGTCAAAATTGATGACCAAAATTGACAATAGTAAAAATTGACAGTGAAAATTGACAGTCAAAATTGACAGTTCAAATTAACAGTGAAAATTGACAGTTAAAATTGATGAACCAAATTGAAAGCAAAAATTGACAGTTAAAATTGACAGCACAAATTGATGGCACAAATTGATGATGGTCAAAATTAAACAATGGTGAAAATTGATGACCAAAATTGATGATAGTAAAAATTGATAGTCAAAATTGACAGTTAAATTGACAAAATCAACAATCAAAATTGATGATGGTAAAAATTGATGGTCAAAATTGACAGTGAAAATTGACAGTCAAAATTGATGAATCAAATTGACAGCAAAAATTGACAGTCAAAATTGACAGTCCAAATTGACAATGGCCAAAATTGATGATGGTGAAAATTGACAGTCAAAAATGATGATGGTGAAAATTGACAGTCAAAATTAATGATGGTAAAAATTGATGATTAAAATTGACAGTCAAAATCAACAACCAAAATTAACAGCAAAAATTGACAGTGAAAATTGACAATGGTAAAAATTGATAGTCAAAATTGACAGTCAAAATCAACAACCAAAATTAACAGCAAAAATTGACAGTGAAAATTGACAATAGTCAAAATTGATAATGGTGAAAATTGACAACCAAAATTGATAAACCAAATTGACAGTGAAAATTGACAGTCAAAATTGACAACTAAAATTGACAGTGCAAATTGACAATGGTTAAAATTGATGATGGTGAAAATTGACAGTCAAAATTGATGATGGTAAAAATTGATGATTAAAATTGACAGTCAAAATTAACAACCAAAATTGATGGTGCAAATTGACAATGGTCAAAATTGAGCAATGGTGAAAATTGACAGTGAAAATTGATAATGGTAAAAATTGATGGTCAAAATTGATGATGGTCAAAATTGACAACAGTAAAAATTGACAGTCAAAATTGACAATGGTAAAAATTGACAGTCAAAATTAACAGTCAAAGTCAACAACCAAAATTAACAGCAAAAATTGACAGTCAAAATTGACAACCAAAATTGACAATGGTCAAAATTGACAATGGTAAAAATTGACAGTCAAAATTGACAGTCAAAATGAATAACCAAAATTAACAGCAAAAATTGACAGTCAAAATTGACAACCAAAATTGACAATGGTCAAAATTGACAATGGTGAAAATTGACAGTCAAAATTGATAATGGTGAAAATTGACAGTCAAAATTGACAACCAAAATTGATGGTGCAAATTGACAATGGTCAAAATTGAACAATAGTGAAAATTGACAGTCAAAATTGACAGCAAAAATTGACAATGGTAAAAATTGACAGTCAAAATTAACAGTCAAAGTCAACAACCAAAATTAACAGCAAAAATTGACAGTCAAAATTGACAACCAAAATTGACAATGGTCAAAATTGATAATGGTAAAAATTGATGGTCAAAATTGATGATGGTCAAAATTACCAATGGTAAAAATTAATGGTCAAAATTGATGACCAAAATTGACAATAGTCAAAATTGATGATGGTGAAAATTGACAACCAAAATTGACAGTCAAAATCAATAATCAAAATTAACAGCAAAAATTGACAGTCAAAATTGACAATCAAAATTGACAATGGTAAAAATTAACAGT